TTGTATTGTCTCTTTCTCTTGTTATCTTTTTCCTGACGATGGTGATAATGTTCACCGAAAGCTCGAAATAAAAATATAACCTTGAATTTTGATAAAATTCTAATGTACTTCATAGCAGTCATCTACTCAATTCTCTCTACGTTAAAGTATTTTTCAATGTATTTAACAAATTTCCAAGTTCTTTTTTCAGAAAGGAACAAACGCATTTGGTGGTGTCTTAATTGCTATACATCACTCTATTCCAATGCAACGACTCATCAATTTTCAAAATGATTATAATCTTATTGTTCTGGATATAGGATATTCTTCAAATCAAGTACAATTAGCAACCTGTTATTCTCCACCAAATGAGAATCTACCACTGAATCTTTTTAATGATATACTACGTCGTAATTCAAATACTATCTTACTTGGTGATTTAAATGCTAAGCATGAGTCGTGGTCCAATACAACAGGGAATCAAAAAGGAGGTCTTTTATTTGAGTGGTTAAATGAAAATTATTTTCAAGTTATTAATAAATTTGTTCCTACTTCAACACGATCAAATGCAGTTATTGACCTTATATTAGCACCTATGAACATTTATTTTTGGTTCTTTTTCTGTATTTCCACCTATTAGAAGTGATCATTATCCTATCCTTTGGTCATCCCCATTCACAATACCATGGAAAGATCGTTTTCTTCCTATTAAACGTACCTATTGGACGTTATATGAAGTCTTTATTACTTTGACATCTTCGATTTGGGAGAATTTGTCTACAACTATATTCGACAAAGTGGAATTTTTCGGTCTTTATGAACGTTTTTTGTCCTTATCTTCTTGTTGATTAACCTACGTATCTTATTGCAAATCATACAAATCTTCGATATCACCTCAAATAGTTGATCTAATACAACGCAAACGGCATTATCTACATCTGGTTAGAAGAACCAAGCATCCATATCATATAGTATACTTAAAAGTTACTTTCGCAACAAATACGAAAAGGTATGGTTCTACATCAAAGGAATATGTAGAGTAGATGTTGTAAATCTCTTAATTCATGTGATATTCGACAGTTTTGGCGAAAAGCTCGGCGACATTTCTCCTCTTATTGTCCACCAATTGAAGGTATTCTACACAATGGTGTAGTTATCACATCTCCAGTGGAAATCTATGATATAGCCAAGCAATTTTATACAGAACAATTTTCTGAGCATGAAAATAATCAATCTGTGATGGAAATCGAAGCTTATTTAGTTGATCAAGAACTGGATAAAGAACTTTAAAATTTGAAATTAGATTGTATTAATATTAAATTCATTGATGTTAAAAAAGCTGTTTTATTATTAAAGAACAAGAACTCCACAGGATTAGATGATATATCAAACAGAATTATAAAACTCCTACCTTCACTTCATCTGACATTCATTACTTCCGCTTTTAATTTTATGGCTCAAAAATGTATGTTTTTCTCGTCATTGGCTTGTTACGAGAATGATACTGTTGTCCAATACGAAAACGGCAATAGTGGATATAAATGATACACGTCCAATTTCATTACTTTCATGTTTTTCGAAGTTGTTTGAGAAATTGTTTCTTATACACTTTCGTCAATAGATTTGGGATAATGGTATTCTACCGGAAGAACAGACTGGTTTCAGGTTAGAACATAATATGTCTACCAGAATCGTATCGATTGTTGATCAAATTGGACAAGGTCTTGTACTAAATACCACTACTGCTACGTTATTCATCGGTTTCAAGTCTGCCTTTAATCAACTATGGATTAAAGCTCTTTGGATCAAACTTAAACGTTTCAATTACCTTCTGTACGTTATTGCGTGGTTAAGAAATTATTTAATAGGTCGTTCAGTCTTTATAGAAATTAAATGTATCACGTCAAATGATTTTCCATTATTTAAAGGTGTTCCTTAGGGTTCTTGCGTAGGCCCAGTACTATTTATTGCTTTTCATTACAATATATTAAAAGCAGTATCAAATCTCCACTTTAAACATCCGTTTGCCGATGATTTTGCTATCGTTCTGTCACCATCAGCAACTTGGTCATCACAACTACTCATTTCATATCTTTCACAACAAATTTTCAATGTAATAAAAGACTTGTACTCTTACTCAATCACATGGAAACAACCAATAAACTTCAAAAAGACCTATATTCCTACTATTCCTGTTATTTATTGTGAAAATCACATCATCGAACAAGTTTCCAAATTTAAGTATCTTGGTTTCACTCTAGATGCTAGATTATCTTTCAATTTTCATCTCGATGACATCCAGTCAAAGATTAATAAAAATATTGTAGGTTACAAACGTTTATCTAGCAGCCGTGTGCTATCCCAGGTAATCTCGTATCGATTATATTACGCATATATTCGTTCATACTACCAATCTGTTTTAAATATTTACCCAATATTATCTCGTACAAAACAACCACAAATGGAAGCGTTAAATCGTAGAATTTTGTTCATCATACATAGATGGCATGATATTACGAACGATGAAATAACCAACCTCCCGTCTTATAAATCTATAGAATTACTTACACAAATGCATTCCTCAAAACAATTGTCCACAATTATTCGTACTAATCCTTCAATCATTGCTGATTTTATTCAACGTAAACTATATCTGTTATTCTTAAGGAAGTATTTCTTGAATCTTGTTTTACTGAAAGAAAAGAAAGCAATTGTAGCAAGAGGAAGAACATCTAATCGAATTCGACAATTACTATCGTCTTGCAAACAATCTCTTTTTGAACAAGTTTTTTGTTTTACGTAAGAAAAACAAAAAAAAATCAACAACGAGGAACTTTAAAGATATAGATGCGGAACCGATTTCTATTATGTTAAATATCCTATACATATTACTATTAAAACTTTTCTTATGAGTGACGACTTGGGGAGATCTAATATAGTTGCCATGTTGTGTAAATTTTTTTCTATAATTTGTATTCTCTTTTCACTTGAGTTTCTTTTACATATTGTAATACTGTATTCTTATTTGGTTTTTGTGAGACTGCAGAGACAATGTTCATCTAAGTTATTCTCCCACTGCTCCTTATGATACCATTTATTCTGCACTTCTTACGATAAATAAAAGTAATATACTACTACTACTACTACTAAATAATCTTCCATAAAAAATTACGAAGTAAAGTTTTGTTTTTTTATCAAACGTGATATTTTATGCATGACTCATTAAAACACCCTCAAAAGATTTGATTCTACTAGTATTTCGACCAATTTGCTAAATGAACTTGATTCGAAATTGATTGATTCTTACCCTGAATTGATAAATATATGGTAAAGACGTATAGAGTATTTCAGATTAATTGTTTGAAATAGCCTATAATGCAATCTTCAAGGGCTTACATAGTATTTAGATCGAAATTTGATTGGAACAGATCTGCATTGTAACCGTATGAGTTTTTATGCAAAAGACATACAGAATCATGAGTGAAGGGACGGCGGCAAACATATTAAAAGTCACCCTATAGATGAATTTTTGTAGTTTTTCGAGGAAGTTTTGTTCTTGGGATGCTTTCTGCAAGCACAGCGTGTTCTGGAGGAGTGTTTTAGAAAACAATGTGAGGATCAATTTATTAATGAACATTATTCTGTTTCGATATAAGTCGAGAAAAGAAAAATCTCATCAAGCGTGTTGCACGCAATTAGATAATACAAATAATAATGATCAAAAAAAAAATTCCCTGCGTTTCACAGTAAAGCTTGCTCACTCCTATTGTAGTCAAATGGGATCAGTACATATCTAGACTATAATACGATCTTTCATTCTCACCGACCTGAATTTTAGAGCTTAATATGTTCTAACAATGTCTCCTAGTTTTAAAGCAAACTTTAAAAATGGGGAAGATGCAAACAGAAATGAAAATTGTAAGCCGTTATTATTAATCTTGAAGTTCAAATTGAGAATATATCGAGAACATGAACATATTTCTATACTGTCAAATGCATATTTTTAACAAAATTAGTCCGAAAATCTCAAAGCATCTAAAGTTTAAGCAGCGACGATAGTTATACCTACGTGTACACTACAATCGAACTCAGGAACATCTAACAAATCAAGTACCGCTTCTATATGAATTAGCGATGTAGACTAAGGGAGGTCCTTCAACAATGCATAGAGAATGATGATATCAAATGTGAACGATTTCTAACAATATCTGCATCTTTCATGGACTTGGGAATGGATCTTTCGAA